ACTTTTATGCCAGTTGTTCAGAGGTAAGCCTATCACTCCCATGTGGAGACGAAATGGGAATCACCGTACGATACAAGTATTTATTTCCTCGCTTCCTCGAAAGATTTGAAATCTGCTGGGACGCGGAGCTGTTTACCTACATCTGGGCGTCTGATAGAGATAAAGTCGGTCTTTGATCATTTCCAAGCTGATAAAAAAAAAAAAAAAGAATAGAGCTATCGACTGTGCTCTTGTGGGAGAAGTTCTGCTCAGAGTCAGCTGAGACTGCCAGCGTTGGGTCCGTTAAGGAATCCCAAATATCTCTGCACGCCGTGCTGTGGGTACATGCCACCGGAGGAAGGTTCCTCCGGAGCGCATTTTCGCTTTTAATTCCCTAACACGAGCGTGAATAGACATTTGCAGCCCCTCTTTATAGTCAAGATTTAAGCAGCCCATTAAGCCAACACAAAGAGCCCTTGTAGCCCTGTAATTTATGGCCACTTTTAAAAGGTAGTAAAATACACTAATTGTACATCAGCGTCCAAAAATAAGCAGGTAAATCTAGCAGGAATTTGAGCTAATTCTATGTAATCCTCCCCTCTCGGCGGCCAGCATACGAAAATGGTCACTATGAAAAGCATTATATTTCTCCTGCCAAAGGACCAAGCTCATCAAGGACTCCAGCAACCCTCAACCACCAAACACCGACCCCCCTGCCCGCTGCAAAGCAGGCCAGGACAGACAAACACTCGAAACTCATTCGCCATCCGTTCCGATGCACTCATTCAGACAAAAATCAGGTTTCTCTAACATCCCCACACGAACTCCACGTCTGCAGGACCGGCCGCGGAACTCCTGGAGAAGGAGGAGGCAAACAAACAAGCCGCGATAAGCCATTCAACAACCGAAATGGCTCCGAGCCGCTCTCCCCTCGCCTCACGTCCTTTGATTTGGGAAGGAGCTTAGAATGGACAAAGAAATTCTCAACCTCTTTGGCTCTTCAAATGACTTCGCATCCTTCCTGTCCCCAGTGCCTTTATAAGGATGGCGATCACTCAGGTCCCCTACACTTCTTTGTCTGCCCAGACACGCGCATTCACCACCCACGGAAGATGAATAGAGCCAATCCAGGGGGAAAAAAATAAAAAAATAAAAAAAAAATAAATCCCGCTAGTTTAAATATTTATCACAACAACAACAACAACAAAAAATCTCATTCCAGCAGGCTTGTTCTGCATGCAGGTACCAGGCAAATGGCTTTCTTACAGCTGCGATCCGCGCAAATAAAGCAGCCGCTTTCCCGGCTCTTACCTCCTCCAGCTGCGCGGAGTTGGGCTGAAGCGCTCCCGGCTCCCTCCGCCCCGGCCCAGCGGCTGGTTTTTTTGGGGCTCCCTGTAAAGAAGCAACAAACAGTGCCTTACCGGGGAGTGCCGGGGGAGGTATTTTGGTCCTTCATAGGCAATACACGGGTTGCTGGGTGCGCTGGGAGAGCCCCGGTGTGGGGCGGGCAGGCATGGAGTGGGTGCGGGGTCCCGGCGCGGAGCGTGGGTTCCCACTCGGGTGAAGAGCACGGGGAGCTGAGAAATAAAAGCGTGTGGTTTCTTTTTTTTTTTTTTTTTTTTTTTTTTTCCTCTAGACTGCTATGCCTTCTGTCTCCAAGTGTTTGGAAATATTGTCATTCCAAACTCTTGTTACATGAATGTCTGCTTTATTTTCCTCTGGGAAACCTTTGTTTAGGATCATTTAATCAAGAACAGACATTAAACACAACTCGTGGTGTTCATCTCTGCTGAATAAAACGCGGAAAGGGTTCCAGTTTAAATGCGGGGCGTATTGAGGTTGGGCTTTTATTCAAACGGTTAGTCGGGGCCCGATCCTGCCACCACGAGCGCAATAAGAGACTAACAATTGACCTCACTGAAGCGGGATCGGGCTCAAAGCCTTTTTTAAAAAAAAAAAAAAAACACCACTGAAAGCCATTGAAGGAGGGAAAAAAACTGGACGGCTTCTCTTCCCCTAAAATAAACAATATTGCGCAATAGAAAAAGACAATAGTCAGATTATTCGCATGCCACTTACTGAATCACGTTTACATATGAATTTGTCAGATATAATAATGTACCCCCCGTATTCATTCTCGCTAATAAAAGCCATCTAACGCATCTTAAAATTGTCAGTAAATGTAAATGCTAATAATTAAATAACAGTTCTTGCGGAAGGGTGTCATCTGAGCCATGGAAATATTAAGTCTGTCTTGGGAGAACTTTTCGAGCAGAGACTTTGCTTTGGTAATTTAGTAGTCCCATAATTACTCTAATAATTTTAAATTTGGTGTTGAACTCCGGTCTACATAAAATCATGCAATAATAGCCTACTAAGCTGTTTATTGCTGTCTCATAAATTTGAGTGCGCTGACTGCTAAAATCTACTGGCAAACACAAAAGAAAATGGAAAGTTCAATCTGGAATGGCAGAGCCCGGGCGCTGTTGCCCGGGGTTATTCTCAGCTCTACCTTTCCCTCCACTCGGCTCCAGCACAGGGGGAACCCCCTGGCATTTTAAGCTCAAACTCATACCTTAGCCGTTTTGATCCCTAATCAATAGTCGTGTTGCAAACGGCAATAATCATCGATCAAGCGTGTCGTGACTGGGTTGCCCCACTCGTGTTAAATATGGAGCGTGTATCTGAAAACGGTGCCAGCGACTTTCTGTTATTTATTTTGGAGCTATTAAGTCACGCCACCATATTTTACACTGCCACAGTCCTTTAAACTATGCTGCTTCTTGAAAGAGTTGCTAAGTAGCAATAAAGCACTTTACAAACGCTATGACATTTTTTTTTAATTTGTTGTTATCCCAAACTCTAATATTCATTGAGGCACTTTAAGTTCGTACATAAATCGTTCAGACTAATGAGTCATAGAGAAATTCGCCCATGACTTTTCCTTTACAATGCTCACTGCCTTTCTATTGCTTTTTTGGCCCTGCATTAGGAGCCGGTGATTTATTAACGCCAGGAAAATTGAACAAAGCAGGTCCTCCTGCACTGTGGCACCCAGCCTTCCACAGTGTGAATTAGAACATTATCAAATGTGTTTGCCTCGGTAACACTTAATCACCAAAAGCCGTAATGTGACCACAAGGCAGCTAAAACAAAGATTTAACATTTCTAAATATTAAACTTGTTAAGCAAATGCTCAGCAGACAAAGCAAGCACAAACAATTAAAGTCATCAAGCTAGAAATACACACTACCTACTTACCAACACAGACCCTACTGCTTGCTTAAGAAGTTTAGAATCTTTCAAGATAAATCAGGTGGTTTTTTTTTTAAAGGGAAAAAAAAAAAAAAAAAAAAGAAAAGAAAGAAAGAAAAACAAACTCCAGTAATAAGGAGTTGAGTTTCACTTCTGAGAGAATCACTCCTAGTGAGGACTGACGGCCACAGATCCATTCCTGACTATCTGCATTAATTATTTAATGAGTCACGTGACCCAAAAGATTAAAATTTCAATATCTCCCCCAGAACAGACGCAACACCTTTATCTGCGAGAGCAGGGATCCTCGTACTTGGGTCTCCTAATCTCTGCTGGCTTTGACAGCTCCTCAATTTCTAAGGAGAGCGCTTAGGCATTAATAACGCGGGTTTGTCCCGCTCTGTACAGCGCGATGGGGCAGCTTTACACCCCCCCAACCCCCAGATTAGCCAGTTGAACCCAGATCCTCATTGTCTGCAGCGGGAGGGGGGGCTCTGAGCCCCATGGAGGGGGGGGCATTCCCCGGGCTGCCTTCCGCGGGTCAATACCGCCTGTCCGCGGGCGCGGGCGGAGCCGGGAGGGCTGCCCGGGGCCGGGGGGAGGCGGTCGCCGACCTTCCCCTGCCCACGCGGGGTTCCCCGGTCCCACCGGGAGTGGCGTGGGCCGGGCTTGGGAGCCCGCAGCGCCGGGCCCGACGGGACTGCCCCGGGGGGACCCCCGGGGGGAGCGGGAAGGGGGGGGGGGTCCCACCCCGCCGCGGCCCGGCCAGGCCTCCAGGCTCCGCACCCGGCCAGCGCCTCCTCCTCCTCTTCCTCCTCCTCCTCCTTCCCGGGGCCTCGACGTGCGGGGCCCCTCGGGGCGAGCAGCCCGGCCGGCTCCGGTGGAGGTGTGGGAACGGCGGACGGGCCCGGGGCAGCCCGGATCGGGCCCCAAAACGGGGCAGGGAGGAGGAGTAGAGGAGTAAGGGCGGGGGGGAGAGAGAGGAGGAGGGGGGGACCGGAGGTTCATGGCAAGCTTATCAAGATCTCTGCCTATGTGAGGGCACCCCCCACCCCTTCCTCGTTTACAAACACTGGGAAAGAGGGCCATGGGGCGGCAAACACCCTGAAGGAAATTTAAAAGAAAAATAAAAAAAATTTAAAAAAAGGAAAGAAATCAAAGTCTCAGCATTGGGTAATCCTCCAGTGCAGGATGGCTCTGGTTATTAAATACCACAAGGCGCTTGTCACAGCTGAGTTCCCCGTGTAATAAAACACCAGGTATAGCAAGAGCCTGCAGGAGAAACGAGGAGGGGGACCTGGGGAAA